ATCCATCCATCCATCCATCCATCCATCCATCCATCCATCCATCCATCCATCCATCCATCCATCCATCCATCCATCCATCCATCCATTTTCTTACACGCTTGTCCCGAATGGGGTCGCGAGGGGTGCTGGTGCTACACCAGTCAATGGGCGAGAGGCGGGGTACACCCTGGACAGGTCACCAGTCCATTGCAGGACATTTCATTTTAGCGTTATGTATTCTTTCTGAATATAGGTTATTGTTGTTAAGTCAACAATAAAGAACTAAAGAAAGAAATTGTGATATCAGGGACATATAGCCTAATTAAATTTAAAGAAATACATTTTTAAAGGTTTATTTCATGTTTCAAGGAACCAAAAACCCCAGCTCAAACAAAGTTGGCCCTCTTTATTACACTTACTATGTCTGATGTTAATATTAGTTTGATGATCTAAAACATTTTAATTGTGACAAACAAAAAGAAAAAGTAGAAGTGCCTCCAAGTCATTGAAATAATGACTTTTGTGTGACATTACAGGAGGCATTTGAGCTGCCTTTCACATTCATCCTCATGGTTAGTAGGTATGAGGGCAATGTAAATATCCTGCTGCCACCTGAAGAAATGGATGATCTGTTTAGATGCTGGAAATATGCTCCAGTTGCCTCTGACCCCTCTCTCACCCCAATCTTAGCAGCTTGGCATGTCTATATCTATCCCTGCATGTTATTCTCAGTGTGTCATCACTTTTTGCTCCTCCACCACCAGCTTCCCACTTCTTTTGGTGTCTGTAAGATTTCTTTTCTTTCTCTTTACTGTTTCCTTATCCTCAAAGTTTTTTTTATGTTTCATAAGGAGTATACACTGCAGCACAGAGCAATATAATGCACTACAATGAAGAGCAGATACAGCAACTATAGGATCACTGAGGAATTTGGTGTAATATAACAGTTTCTTTTCCTTCTGAGCTCCTACCTGTTACATGTTTATGAATATATTGCCTTTAACGTTCCTCACTGTAAAAACATAAAAAGTAATTTCCTTATAACCTTGAATTATTTTCTATATCCAGTTTGAAGTCGCCTCGTGTATAATTTTAGTCAAACAGCTCCAGAGTTTAACATTTCAAAGAAACTACTCTTGCCAAAACTTCAGTCTGTTGTGATATATTAAAGGAGATTAACTTAATTATATTATGCATGATGCACTTCAGAGCACAGTGTCAGCTCAGATTTACCAGTCTGATGAAACAAACTGTGTTTCAGAGGTGTTATCCATCACTGCAGAGGAACAGGCACCACATGACTGCCCACCGTCTGGAGAGCCCAAAACTAAACCTAATTTTTTAAACAAAAATGAGCTGAGCTCACTGCTGCTTTGGAAGGTGATAAATCATGAAGTTAAGAGGTTATGAGCTCTGAGCAGCAATGCATGTGGAATCAGCTGCTGGAGCCTATATGCACCAGCACACAAAGCAGAAATAGCTTTATTTAAGCACATCAACTTTCCTATCTTGTCTCTTTAGGTTTAATGAGTCATAATGAAAAAAAGGGAGTGTAGTTCAGTGGAAATTACCATCTCAACGCATCTAAGTCATAAATTTTTTCCTTAGACAAACATGTTTCATAAGCCGGCTGTAACCGTGGGTGCTATGTGGAGCTGCCAATGTCCCCCACTCTTATAACTGATACCTTTTTGCTCTTGATGCCAACTTTAATTCGCTGAAGTAAATCAGTCTAGATAAATCAGTTCATCACAATGCGAGGTCTAACACAAAACAGGCGGCTGTGCAAATTGTGTCCTTGCTCAGATATCAAACAATCATCCTCGTCATAGTTCTCATAGTTTACATAGTGCAAGACAGTAATGAATTTTTAAAAAATTCATCATTGCATTGCATTGCATCGGTGCCTTCATCATTTTCGATTTCAGAATCTGTTATCGCACACCATGTCTAGATGGTGTGGTCAGGTGTGTGTTCGTAAAAGTTACATTTCAGCTGTTTTGTTTAGAGTCCAGCCTGATAAAAAAAAAATGAAGCTGGAAAAAAAAAAAAACAGGGAGATGAGCATCTCAGAGAAACTGAATGTGTGGGAAAGTTGAAGTCGTTCTGTTTATCTGATCATTTTTAAAACAATAAAATGCGTCATAGTTGCTTATTGTTTTGCACAACTTCTTTGACCATTTTTTAATTTAGATCTTTTCAGATAATTAAGCATAGAAACGCACTGATCAGAAGTTTTCTGAATGTTTTCTGATGTTTGGAAATTTAAAAGCTTTGACACATTAATACTTATTTTTGCTGACACTAATTTCTTCTTAAAAATGTTCATTAACAGGATTAGCAGTCAAGATTTTGATTCTCTAGTCTTCCTGTTTAACACATTCCTTCATTTATAATTTAAATTAGACGCAGAAGTAATCAAAAAATAAATCAAGGAAACACTTTTTTAATATATGGTTTATTGTTATTCTAAAGTTTGATTTAAATGGCTGACTTTTTAATGTCTTATACAAGGGATTAGTGCAATCAGCACAATTCCCATTAACAGTCTACAGCAGTCTGTACACAAAAAGATAAAAGCTCCTGAGATTATAAAAAGCTGTAAACAGCTTAATAAAACTCATCTTTTATTCCATCTTGATGAAAGTGGGATGTAGTTTCCTGTCTTACAGTTTACTCTGCTTCCTAACTAATTATGAAAATAGCTGACCTTGACCCTTTCTTCAGTAAGAGCTTCAACACTGAAGAGGGATACAGTTGGTGGTATGAACAAAAATGCCTGATTTTTTAGTGTCTGATTGTTAGTAGCTGCTCAGGGCAGGCCAAGCAAAAAACTAAATATTTCTCATTGCACCTCTACTTTAGATATATTTATTTCCATTTTCTTTTCTTGGGTGACAGCAAGTTATTATCCTATTTGTTTTAACTTAGCATTATCTTCACCATTGTTAACTTTCTAAAAGCTAAACTGCAAAATGTACCCTTATTTGGACAGAGATAATAACTTTTAAAGCCTAGAGAAAAAAATGTTTTGTGCCATTAACCGTAAAAAAAAAAAAAAAAAATGCATCCATTGATCTCCAGAGCTTTGGGTGTTAAATACATTTCCCAAGATGTTCTGGTTTCCATGTAAGTCTTATGTTACATTTGTTTTCCTCTTCTTTCTCTCAGAGCTCATTCAGAACGGCCGGCTGCTAACACTGCCACTGGATGCAGGAGACCTCCAGTCCCTGCTGCCGGATGAAGACAGGAGGCGTCTTTATGTGGCCATGAAAGATAATCTTCTCTCCACAAGTCTGGATGACATAACACAGAACCCACGGAAGGTAGGACATGGAGTACATACGCATGTCAACACCATGCAAAGGAAGAAACCTTAACCAACTCATCTGCTTGACTCAGCACACATGCACAAATATAAAGATATTTATTAATAAATTTGATAGTATAGTGGATGATTATTGTGTTGTAGTGAGCAAAACAACGGATAAAAGCTATTGAAAAATCAATTTAAGAACTGACTTTAAAAAAAAAATCTTCTTTCTTGACTTATACTACTTTAAAAACTGTTGTAGGCATTTAAAATGCTTCTGTAGAATTTTAAAGATTCATAATAAAAGCATTTAAAGCCATATGCATATTTAATCTGGTTTTGCTGTGGACAATTTAAAGCTCAGCTTGTTTACTCCAATTCACTGATAACCAAGTTATGTTCTTTGGGGACTAACTCATATATTTTTTTGTGATTTCCTCTTAGCGAATTTGAAGCACCTTCCCTGCATCATATTTCTATAGCTTTCAGATATGTTACTCCATCAACCATGCTCATTAAATCGTTAACTTTAACTTTGACTTTTTTTTTGACTTGTCTAAATAAAAACTGGCAATTTGAATTCTGTAACTGTGCTAAATCAAAAAGCAAAACCAACATAATTGACTCTAATCAAGCCACAGTTTACTTTTAGGCTCAACTCTAAATTCCTAATTTCCTCTACTTTCTCATTACTGTCATTTCATATGTGTCTCCATTCTTCCTTTTTTAAATCCTGTACAAAATAAAATATCAAAAATATAAAATTTACATTGTTAAACAATTGACAAAAGTAAAAGCATATTTTTCTTTCTTATCATATTTTTTTTATAAAACTAAGTCATACACAGTGGAGGAGGTTTGGGGGGCATAACCTGAAAGCCTTGATCTGCATCTGAGACCCGTTTTACGTGAAGAATAACCAAGAAATTAAGATTTTGTAAAGAGAGAAAATGAGAAACTGGATATTAGGTTGGGGGATCAGACAGATGAGTATTTCTTATCACGCACTGCTTTATACAGAGCAATGTTATTTTCAAATCAATTCTGAATGTAGCAGCAGGTCAGTGTGAAGAACCTGAAATGATAAAAGGCTGCCTTTTATAAGCTTACTCTGAGTTTTTAAATATTCCTTGACAAAAAAAATCCATAGTACAGAGTCCAGGATAGAGATGGAATCAGAAATTGCCCATAAGTTAAAAGAACTGGACCTGGTAGATGAACCAAAATGAGACAACTGCTCGGCCAAAGTCTAAATATGTCCGGCTATGAAAGTTACCTAAAGAGATGATGAACCAGCCAGTGTTTTAACTGTTAGGAAATCCGCCAGTTGGTCCCTGCCTCACACCTTTATTAATGTGAGGTATTAAAACCGCACTGACACACCAGAAACTATGTTTTTTTTTTTCATTTTGTTATAAAAAATCTATTTGAATATGAAAAGACGTACATGTGCATCAGAAAATCTCTGTTTTGTAAATAATTTTACCTACAGAGCCCGAATCCCTGAGGCAAGAAGCGTTCTCTTTTAAAAACCAGCTGATCTTGTTCCCATGCTGCAGGCGCCGGTGCAATAAACTCATCAGGCATTGATGTGGATAACAATCATACTCTCACACAGCATCACATTCAGAATCGGCTGAGAGAATCTCATATTCATAGGTCATAAATGTATGCGGGGGAGGGAGCTGTTTGAAAGAACGATGAAGTTGAAGATTTTAGGTATAGAGTATCCTGTTTCACACCTCAGGTCCAACACCACATCCGAATTGCCAGACAGACACGTTAATGGCTGACTGAGTTCAGGGTCACAGCAAGGACAGCGGCAGTGCTGCCTTTTCATAACCATGACCTGTCGGATCAAATCAATATCCTCATCAGTCAGCGGTGCACGCAAGCCGTCAGAGAGCCAAACAGGTAGGCAAGCAGACAAACAGCTCCTGAAACGGACAGACTGCCACCGGTTATTCCAGCCAGCCACCCACTGTGCCAGGCACACTGCCACTGAAAGGAGAGATAGATTTAACCCACAATCAGCTTTATGTGGATTTCACATTTATCACATTTCCACAGATAGTAATTATAGGCTGTTTAAACCTTTTTATGCCAAGTACAGTTATTATGGTGAAAATATCAACTTTCTGTTAGTTTCTTCTGCTGGATTCCAAAGCTGATTAAAATGTTTAGTGTTTTATTTAAATACTGTATGTTTGCACTGTAAGCAAATGATAAAACACATTTTGACAAACAGATTGACACGTAACTGATGCCTCCAGTTCGTCTCAGCCCAAGGCGGGGAGCCGAATGTTAGCTGTCGCCTTTAGAGACGTCATACTTCGATGAGGCTACAATAAAAAAATAAATAAATAAAACAGCGGAAAAAAAAACCTCAAGGCATTATTTTTGTGAGAGTCTACAGCTGGCAGCCTCCATTACACAGAAAAGGTCACCACGGGTTTCATTGTGTTTTTGTGGCTCTTTGTTTTCAGACTCCTCCTTTAATCGTGGTCCCTTCTTTTGTTTCTCCTCTAAACTTTAAACATTTTCAGCACCTTTTTTTTGATTTATTAGGTTTCACTCTTCCAGCATGGGGTTTGAGATGACAACCAGCATGCTTTGCACTGTGGGATAAATTCCCATTAACCACAGCTTTCACCTGGTGGTACCCTTCCAGCGGTGGTCCATGTTCCTGTCAGTGTGTGGTACTGGAGATTAGGCCGAGTGCGGTCACTAATCTAATCTGATCATCTTGGCTCCGCAGCGGGCTCTGCGGGGATGACTGCATCGGGGAACCATTACGGGACCTTCTGAAATTGTTTCCTAAAACCACCAGTATTTGTCACTAATGACTTTCTTTAAATATATATGACATATTCTACATGGAGAACTGACTCTCTGTCGCGTTGTGTTTAGGCTAACCATGAGGTCAGGTGCCTCTTTATATTAATTAATGCCAATAAATATGAGAGTTTTAGAGCTGTGATTTTTAATTGTTTCTTCAAAGAGAAATTGTTTGCTTCTTGTTTTTTTAAGGGCAGCTTTAGCCATTTCTGTGGTATGCAGTGATACATATCACTTACCACTCAGCCTCATGACTCTGGTCTCTAAGGGAATGACTGAGAAAGGGAAATAGCTTTATTAGTCATGTAGCTGCCATTGGGAGGAAGAGCTTCACCTCTTTCTCTCTGACCTGCAGTTTTTTCTCGAGCTCAATTATTTCCTCTCTGTTTTCATTTGAACCAAAAGGGTGGGAAAAAATATCACTTTTTATTATTTACACAGATTAAATTCTAATGCAGAAAAATGTGACATTTAATTTGATTAGGGTGTTTTGATTGTATTAGTGGTGAGGTTAGAAAATGTCAATGTTATAAGTACATTTTTCATGGATGATAGTCTTACCTGAACACAAGGTGAGCTCATCCTTTACCTCCCCACTCACACTCACACAAACACACTTCAACAGAGACAAAAAGTCTTATATTTCATTCAGCTACAGGGAACTTTTATGGATCAACATTGTAAAGTGGGAAAAACATTAAAATTTGACCAGACTGTGCATTTTTGTGAGGTGTTTGCTGAAGTCACCTTTCACTTTGATACCCTCAAAGGCCCCCAAGGCTGGTTGGAGAACATCAGTAAAGTGAGGAAGTGTAAAGTGGAGTCTGGTTATAAAACCTCGAAAACATAACAACTAACCTATTAGCACACCCACATTAACAGACTAATCAACAATAGCTTTTAAGAAAGGAGCAATCAGAAGCTAAATTATGGATCTGGAGGAGTTGCAGAGATTCTGTTCAGGTTGAGAGCCATTAGTTATGGGAATATAATAGGAGCTAATTACATGGAAATCCTAGAAATGAATCCGAAGAGGACATTAAAATGAGGTGTTGTCCTTTTAGTGGGACAACAATGCTGCAAACACAGTCGATTTAATGACTGAAGAGGATTCGTGTGTCAGAGCTCAGTCCTGAATTATTTCAGGTGCAAGACATTAAAATAGTTATTCGCAGACACCATCCATCACATCTCACTGGCTTTTATTTTTTTTTGTAAAAAAAACTAAAAGCTGAAAGGTTTCTCAAAGTACTGAAAAATAAAAATCTGAAAAGCGTGCACCTCCTTCTGTCTTAGATTTATTACATCAATACTCACATTTATTTATTTTTTTTGTTTACATTATGGAAAAATGTAAAATATTTCAAGGGACATTGACAGTTTTAGAAGTTGTTTATACCTTCAAAAATATTTCTCACAAGTCCAAGTGCTTAAGAGCTTGAATGCTAAGTGAAAGTGGTGGTAGAGCCTGTTTTTTTTTGTGTTAAAGAAATAAATCTATAAAAAAAAGCATCAGGTACAGATCTACATTTTGGGCTTACTGGGTACTTCTCATTGTCTGCTGGTCAATAAGAAACACCCAATTCGTTCTGCAGGTGCAGTCAAATTGTAGATTAGTCATGCTGTCACCGTCCCTCCTGCCCTGACAGTTTGGCCCATTATCAGGACTCATCAATGCTTGCCAGTTGGTTTTTATTTTTCTCCTCCCTGAAGCTGTTGCTCTGCTTAGACTTCATCCAGATTAGTCATGTGCTGTTGGCTCTCCCTTCCTGGCGGCCTTTCTGAGCACCTGCTGCTTCCAATTGCTGTTTATCAGAAAAGTAGAGTGAGGAGAAACGAAGGCAGAGTAAAAAAAAAAAAAAAAAAAAAAACCACAACAAATTTTTAAATGTCTATCTCTCACTCTTTGTCCTTTCTTTGCTCTTTCTCTTTCTCTGTAGCTTTACTGGCCAGCCAGTCCGGACCGTGTCCAAGAATGCCTCATGGCTGGAAAAGATTCAGAGGTGATTCAAGGCTCACTCACAGATACCGACACACATGATTAAACAAAAACAGCAGCAAGCTAAATAGGAACTAGTGTTTTGCCTTGAATGGAGTTGAGTTAACCATCATTTAGATAATCTATGGACGTGTTGTCAGTCAGAATGCTGCACAGATAAAAATCTCCAACTGACAGATCAGGCCTATTCAGCTTTTTTATTTTATTTTTCACTGCATGTTGCAATGCGATACTGCCAAACAAGACCTGCCTGAAATGTTCTGCAACAATAACCCAAAACAGTCGCATGATAGATTATGATCTACTGCGGAAGTGAAGCTGATTGAATCCAATTCATTTAGGAACTGTAAACAAACAAAAACTCTGAATGCTGGTAGGGGAATCAAGATTCAGGGAAGAACAAATCATCACATTTAGGAAGACAGATTGTTATTCAAATGTTTCATGTGTTGCTTGAAACTGAAAACAGGTTTTCACATTGCTTTAATTATTTGTTCTCTGTTTTTTTCCGTGAACAGCTGGAGTGTGCAAACTTCCTGCGAGTTCTGCAGCCTTTTAATCAGACTCACCTGTATGTTTGTGGAACCGGGGCCTTTAATCCCCGCTGTGCTTTCATTGCCACCAGCATCTTCCACCAGGTAAGAAATGCAGAAACACATACATTTAAAAAACTACATTAAACTCAGACTTAGACATTGATCACTTAATATGCTGCTTAGAAAGTTAAAATGACAAGGAGGAGTATACCTGTGCATAATATTATTTTAATTAATACCTCACATTGACATTTGCACACGTTTATGGTATATTTATGTAAGTGATAGTTCACTATGACTTTGTCAATATGTTATGTACATATTTTCAAGTCAAGAGCAAATAGAACCCTTAAAGTTACTGTAAATAAACCTGTTTGGTTCTTAGGCTGTTATAGTTAACCATATATATATATAT